ACATATATGTATGTATGTATGTATGTATGTATGTATGTATTAAAGATTTTTAAAAAGGGAGATAAAAATACAAACTAATATAAAGTAAGGAAAAGAAAAAGAAATCAAAGAGAAAACTAAAAGTACAAGAAAGGGGAAAAAGAAAAAGAAAGATAGAAAAGAAAGATACAAAAAATGGCTTCCAATCTTCTTTACAGCAGTTATAAGTACAATTATAAATTTACCTCTTACTTTATGGTTGCAACTTAACTCTTTCATAATCTATCCTGCCTAACCGTCAAAACCATAAATGATAAGCTCATTTTTTTTTCTGTTTTATGCAAAAAATCCATTAGGGGTACAATCTCTGTTTTCAGACTGATTCTGAACTGCAGCTGTCATATTTGAATTTCCTTCCTTTTTCCTTATGCCTGCCTGCCTGCCTTGCACTACCCTGAGGATGGAGAACTCAAAAATTTGCTCCTTTTTTCCCTTTTTGTGTGCTCTTTTGGTTCCTTCTCAACAGAAATGGGAATTCAAGAACATAGTTCACTGTTCACAGAACAAGTCCCTGGCTGCTTTTGTAAAGAATCAGTAATATGGAGGCCCCAGTAAGCTTATGGTATGAGGGCCACAAGTAAGGGAAGAGGTTCCACACTATCCTAGTCTTATAACATCACCAATCTCACTTCTGACACTGGCAGGAGAACACAGAGTACCTGCAGTGAGGAAAATGAGAAGTTACACGAGAAATGAATGCCTGCATTCAATATCAGGAGTTGTGTGGAGGTTACTGTGTAAAAGTGCATAATTGATACATCATTTTGATCATGAAAGCAAAAAGCTAACACTCTGCAACCAAAGTTAATTTTGCCTCACATCTATATAAGGCACTTAACATCTATTCACTGGAGTTTTCTTTCAGAAAGCAAAGCAGAGCAATAGTGCCTACAGGCCCTTCTGGAGGAAAGCAATTAAAAACACTGACAAGAATCAAAACTTTTAAAAATTCTCCCTGGAGTGAAGTAACAGGTTCAAAAAGACAGCTTGCACACTTTTCATTTAAACTCATTGCCCATTTTTATCAGCTTCTGATGCTTAAAAGGGCTTGAAGCAATCAGTTACAGAGTGGACATTGTTTTTAATATGTTATGTTAAACTGACTTTTTCTCTTCTGAATTGCACTTTTGGTTCACCAACATAGTTTGAAAGCCTCAACAGAAGAAGAATCAGAATTCTTCTCACACCAGCCAGAAAACAAGGAAAGTTAAAAAATCCTTTGAGGGGAGTTGGGCTGAGATAGCACTAGCCCATATTCACTCAATAAGCTATCATGGCTGAGTATGAACTTGGACTAAGACCGGGGAACCTAGGTTCAACATGCTAACTGCTAATCCTTTTGACTCTATTTCTTAATTTCTGAGCTATAATAGGCCACAAAAAAATAATTCTAGCCTAGAAATAATTGTTGGAGCACCTTGATATTCATCACTTATAAGGGAAAGTTTTACCTGGGCCACTCCATCCTCACTTGCAGCTGTTATAGCAAGAGATACAACAATCAGGGTGCTGTAGTGGTTACAGTGTTAGATACAATGGGGAAGACCCAAGTTCTACTTTAGCTCAGCCACGGAAATTCACTGGGTGACTGCACTAATCTCTCAACCCAACCTAAATCCCAGGGTTGAAAGGATAAATGAAGAGAGATCCACGTCAGCTGTCTTGTGTTCCTAAAGAGAAGCAGGTTATAAATCTAATTTACCATCATCACACCACCACTGCCACTACCACAACAATGGGGGAAGCAAAGGCCCCTCTGAGTCTATTTCTGACTCTTTATGATATTCCAATTCTTTGGCTCTAAAAAAGGAATGTGATTGTGTAGGACATGTCCAGCAACAGCTATTAACAGTAGAACCTCCATCTCAGGTGCAACCAATCTCTGAATGTTAGTTGCTGAAAGACACACAATAGAGAAGCAGGGCTTTGACCCTCACCCTCCCCTGAGACATTTTCAAAAGCTTCTGGCCAGAGTTCGCTTGAACAAATGGCCCCTGGTCTGATCCAGCAAGACCTTTATTAAGTTCACACAGCTTTAACTGAGAATGTCAAAGGCATCACCCAGGTGCCTCAAGTTTACCTCTGGAACAATTTAAGTGTCAATGCCATCATTCTCATCAGTATGCTTATGCAAAAAGAAAGAAAGCCAGCCAGCCATTGAATATATTCTTAAAGGGATCGAGAGATTCAAAAAGGAATTCAAGGGTAATTTCAAAAAGGAGAAGAAAAAAGGATGGTTGCTGGGGCTTTCTTGAACTGCTATAAATAAAGCACAGACCCTGTTAAATGGAAAATTCAATGTAGATGGATGAATGCCCAATTTATATTTTGAACTTTTCATGTGGTATCTCCTCTCACATGAAAGAGTACTTATCTGTAGCCTATAGCTCTCTGCTGTTTCCACTGCATCCTCCAAAACTAATTTAGTTTCCCCATAGGACTAGGTACTATAAAGCAGCAGCATTTTGCAGGGTTGAAAAACAAAATTGCAAGAAATACTATGCAGGAACATTAGCTCTTTTCCATAAGAACTGTACCCACAAATAAGTTCAGCATATTATTCTACCTCTTGTTCCTATTAATGCCCTATGTTTTTCATAGAAAATAATGTTAAACAAGATTATCATCTGTGCAAAGTGTGACAGAAAGCACACGTGTCATCTGTATTTAATTTTAAAAAGCTGATCAAAAGAACTAACGTAACAATAACTATAGATTGAAATTTAAGTAGGGAGTGTAGAAAAAATATTCCTGGTCTTCCTTATTCTTCATTCTAATTTAGGTAGTCAGGTTATATGCCAGTCATTCCCAACCTGGTCCAAGGGAACTGCAATGTCCATATTTCTTGCAAGTGTGTTAACAGGTAGTTCTGGCACTTGTAATCTGAGATTTGTAATCTCAAAATATTTCTGAGGCACCAGGTTGGGAAAGATCCTCAGTACTTTTAAATTCACTGCTTAATTTGGAGATTCCTCCTTTCTATTGCTTCTTGCTATTTTCATCCACCTTTGCTTGTTTGCTGTGCAGTGCACAAGTCCTGCTCCTTCCAGCAGAGAAAGAACAAAAGAATTAAAAGTGGGAAAGACAAACCATAACTGCATAAAGCAAATCACCTCTCATTCAAGAGGCAAGAATGAAGAGGCTGAAGAACTCAAAGCAGGTCTTATAATGTAATGAAAAGGTTTATTTTCTTCAAAACATACCATCCATCTCTTACAGATGAATATTTTCTCTTAAGATGTCATTTATTTCTCAGCCTTTCTACCATGTATGAATGAAACTGAGTTTCACTGAAATAAACCATCATCAGGAATTGTGACACTTCTGTTTTCCAGATATTCTTTCTACTAGTTTAATTGCAGTGGTAGCAAGAACAACCTGGTTTTGATTTAGGATATTATTTGAACCCAAACAAATGTGGCTCATTCAATAAACCAGGGTTAAACCATGACTGAACACAATGGGTGGATCCAGAATCAGAAAAGTATGGACAGGATCCATCAACAAGGAAGCCAAAGTTTCAATAATGCGTAGTTTATGCATTAAAAAAAAAGTATACTTTCATTCTTACAGCCAGTTTGATGTAGTGATGAAGGTACCAAGCTAGAAACTGGGAGATGGTGAGTTCTAATCCCGCTTTAGGCCCAAAGCCAGCTAGGTGACCATGAGCCAGTCACTCCCTCTCAGCCCTAGGAAGCAGGCACGGGCAACTTCCAAAACCTTGCCAAGAAAACTGCAGGGACTTGTCCAGGCAGTCACCAGGAGTCAGCACTGACTCGAAGGCCCTCCCCCCAAAAAAACCCTCATTCTTGCAGCAATCAAGGCTGTAGTTTAAACCCATGCTGGAAAGTGGAAAAATGCAGATGTTTGTGGCACACATCCTATCACATCCCATGCAATTATACGCTTACTTAAAGTATTGTCTCTTGCTATTATCATTTAGATTCTTATCCCTCCTTTCCTACAGGCGCCCTGCGGGTTGTTTCCACCACAATAAACAATGCTTGAGTTGCGAGATAGAAATAACGCTTGATTCGCCCGCGGTTGAGACTGGCGTTGGACGCCGCATCTCCCCAGGTCCGGCCCCAGCGAGAAAGAGCCTCCTTTTCTGAGACCGGAGAGTGGGGCGTTCAAGTCCTACCACGATTGCCTGCCTTCCCTCTGCCTACAGGAAAATGATGGCGGTCGACACAGACGCCCCTGCTTACAATCCATATTAAGGTTTCCTTTTCCCAAACGGCTCAGCAGAGAAACTAAAGGAAATGTACGATTCGCCCCGTGCACGGGGGTTAGCAATAAAGGCCCAACTGTGCAATCACTTGCCATAACGCGCAGTTACCGTCCCGCAAAGCTTCACCTGGGAAACGCGACGCCAATGTTTCCTTTCGTTCCCAAGGTTGGCTGCAAAACCATCGAAGGCGGAGTAACAAGAGGGCATCCTGGGAAGTGTAGTTCATGCCGCTCGGAGCGAGAGTCGCGTTACAAAGAAGGCGGCCAGAGGCTAGTCGCCCTTTTCCGTGGTCTGAGCCGAGCTGCGGAAAAACGCCCGCAAGAAGAGTTACTTTTTAACGAGAGACAAGATGGTAGAAATTGATCGGCGGCTTTCATACTCCAAGTCATCTTTTAGCGCACCATTTCGGCACGTCTTCACGGCGTCCGCTTGATCAGTTATGAATGCTGCCTTGCCGCCGTTTCCGTTGTTGTTCTCTCTGGCATGGCTTGTGCACGCTGCTGTTTACCGCCGAAATTCTGAGATTGTTAAACCATTTGTTTTGAAAGGTGGCACATGCGTTTTTAAATATTCTCTTCACAGCGATAATGCGAAAACTACATTGGTGGGAAAGAGGGAACAGAATGATGTGATCAAAAGGTCTGACCACGTACATAAATGATTTAAGATAAAATGACCTCCTAAAGTGCTGTAAGTTTTATTCAAACCCGGAATAGAAGTGACTAAAAGCAGCATTAAGCAACACTTTTTAATCTTTTAACCTGTCACTAGAATAATTGGGATCCAATATTAGAGCCTATAAATTGCAATGATATAGGACAAGCAAAGCTATCCAGTTCTACTTGTGGCAAACAAGACAGATCCATCTTTTCCTGCAGCCAGACTCTTCCATAATGTGGAGGATCCTTGGCTGGATGTTAAAAAAAAATAAAAAATCCCTTTGCAAGAGCTGAAGCCTCTTTTGAGTTGTTAAATGCATCCCAGATATTTTCAGATTTTCTCTTCTTGCATATTAGTCTGAGACTGGACTCCTACACTGCCCTGGTCGCAACTGGGTTTTATTTTACTGGAACATATGGTAAACTCAGCCATGTGGCTTATAAACAATGGTTTTAAGTTAATCAGGAAGCAGAGTTCATTAAATCATGGTTTAGTACATAAACCTGCGTCATATTAGATCACATGTTAGGTGATGCAAGTATTGGAATATAGTCTGATTTTGACTGTTTGGACCTTTCTCATGAAAAGCATCTTTTGGATGAAGTGATAATAAATTTTAATTTGATTATAAAATGTGTCTGTAGCCTATTCTGAACGTTTATTAAAAAATAAAATAGTTCCAAATAGTTTGACTTGTGAAATTTATTGAGATTCAAATAAACAAAATAGAGGTTATACAAGTACTGAGTTTATAATAGAAACAATCAAGGTTACAATATAAGCCCATTAGCTAGTAAGTGTAAACTCATCTTTTTGTTGATAGCCCACTTTTCCTCCCTTCATTTTATCATCACAACAGAAGACCTGTGAGTTAGCTTGAGCTGAAAGTAGTCTTCCTGATTAATTTAACTGGTTGAATCTCAATTTGCAACAGAGGAAAACATTCTACCAGTGATATTGCTTTCCATGAAATAAGGTGCAAGAGGTGGGGAAAGGAGGCACTCACTTCTAGATTGCAGTTTTCATATTTAAAAAAAAAAAATCAAAAGTCTTCCCATTCAGTGTCAACTCTTCAGATTTCCTAACTGGTTTAGTAAAATAGGTCTACAAGTAGGATTGAGATTTCCCAGGAAACATGCAGCCAAGTGCTCTGAAGAACACATTCAATGAATCTTACCTGGGATTCTTGGGCATTTGTACAACTAGACTGTGGGCGATCAAGGCAAAGCCTCACTTATGCTTCCAGTGGACACAGGCTACATCTGTAACTTGCAGAGCATAAGAGCACCTTTATTCCTAGGCCACAGAATATTGCCATCATACAATTATGCCACAGGCAGTTCTTACTAACTACTTGTACTGTAAGTGTAAGAAACCATCAGGATTTATTGAAGAGAGTTGTGACTAGATCGCAACTTAAGCCTCACTGATTTCAAGAGATTCAATAAAACCAACTGAAAAAGGGACTTTTAACAGAACATAGCTTTCAGTAGGATTTAGAAGGTGGTCCTGCCGCTATGCTACGACCAACTTCATTCCTAAACCATTACAGGTTTATTATTCAATCAAACTCTTAGCATAATTGGAAGCTAAGCCTATGTACATCTTCAAAAGTCTCATATAAAATCCCCTTTATTGATCTCAAAATAGGCAATTTTTGTTCCTTTGGGAACGTATGTCACTTGTTCCACTTCACCCCCACCGTTGCTAGGTTTCTGGAAATGAATTTCAATCACATCTTCCACATTCTCATCTTTCTGTTCTGCGTTGATTCCTGTTAACAGCACAGTTTTCTTGGAAGTCCCGGAAAACATCTGGCATAAAAAAAACCCATACCACATGTTACCTCCATAGTCTTCCTTAAGGAAAGCTAAAATTGGAAGTGCCATCACTAAGAGATAACAATCTTTCTTTCATTTTTACTGGTAACAGAATATAAATACACTGTTCAAGAACCAACAAAATGTGACTGTAGATATTGCATCTGCACTCCACATGCCCTTTTTAAAAACACCCATGTATTACAGGATCACAGCAGGTAAAGGCTGAGAAATTAACCATTTGCTCCCCTGCTGGGATCCTAATGAAAATAACTCTTCTATATTGGAAACTCCATAAGGGTCATGGCACATTTTCCCCTTTTGAGTCTAATGTGATCATCAGCATGTCTCTTCTTGTCAAGCCTTGACTCTGACCCAAATAAAGCAGCTGCTTAAAAAGCAGCAATTCTAACAGTGAATTAGGCTATGTTTGCAAATCAGCAAAGCTAAAAAACCTAATTCTTACCTCCCAGTGGGTGGATACCACTGACCATGTTACACAGCTTACAATACTGTCTGAACCCAACACAATTACCTTTGTAATGTCTGAAAACCTGGCCTTGTAATCTATGTCAAACCCTGGATACAACCCCTATTTCCAGAATTCCAAAATGATGGCAGTTTTCGGGTTTAGACAGCAGTAAACTACAAAGCCTGGTTAAAGAGCAGCATGTGGCAGAAAGTACAATAGTATAATCAGACTCATTAACATTTATTTTAATTCAGTGTGCAACATAAACCAACCTTCACTAAATGGAAGAAAACATGGAGACCTAACCATTACCAAACTGCCACAAGTGCTTGATGGTATTCAGCCTACCATATCTGTAGTGTAAAACCTGAGACAACCAGTAGTTGGCAGCAAAGAGGTTTTACACCTACTTAAGACCCATCTAACAGCTCTCCAGATTTTTGCAGCCCATATATGGTTGATGTAATGGTGTAAGCAGATTTAATTCATTCTATATACATTTAATGCTGAGGAAGTCAGTTCTATTGCTTACCCACAGAACACATTTTCCAACCACTGGAAATATAATAGGTAAGTTATCTGGAAAGTAGGGAAATAATATATCAGCTATTAAAAAGGCTATAAACCTTATTCCAAAGGAAGTCCCTTTGAACTCAGTGACTCACATCACACTAAACTGCAGTATGCTTTGATTTTAATGTATCATGTTGTGTCAACCCATCCACTAGTTTGTAAATCGAGACTTAATGGTACAATGTTTTGTACAAATCTGCTCTATTGTGGTTTATTCAGTAAACCACGGTTTAGCAAACCACAGCTTAATGGGTTCATTCAGCTGCTGAATTATCTGCCCTGCTTGATTTTTCCTTCCAGGTAGCTAACCTGGCAATATTTACTTACCTGAACTTTTTCCACGTTACAATTTTTGACAGGTGAAACAGTGAGGAGATGAATCTGTCCAAATATATCAATACAGCATTGTCCATACCTTATGATATTATTAAGAGCTAGAATAAAAATAATAAAAAACATGATTTATATGAAGAGCTGCACATCTGAAAAAGGGTGGTTAATTTTAAATAAATTAAACCCTAAACATTAGTTCCACATATACTTCAGAGTGTAGATACTTATTTCGGGAGCACTAGTTTGCCATTAATTATGGAACATAAGGGTGCTTACTTCAGTGCAAGCCACTAGCGGACTGGACTATAAGGCAAATATACTAATCAAATACTCACTGCAAGTCTTTTTTTCCAACACAATAATAATGCAATTCTAGATAGGTCTACCTGCAAGTAACTCACAAAGGTCCAGGGGAATTAAGTCCAAAATAAACAAATGAACTGTAAAATTAACAGAAAAATCTTGTGTAGCACTTCCTTTAAGAGTTTCACTTTTTCCTTAAATTGGCTTTCTCCAACCTGGTACCTCCAGATACACCACACTATAATTTTCCTTGTTCATTAACCAGCATGGCAACAGCTGTGGTGGTTTGCTTTCTAAAACATCTGGAGAGCATCAAGTTGTGGAAGGCTACCTGGGATTCTAGTGAAAAAGAATGGCATAGTGTTGATACTCAAAAGTAGGGAGTGAAATTTTTTTGTATCCACAGAGCTACTTGCAGAACGAGCAATACCTTCTGATGACAACTGTCAAAGAAGACTGGACATGCTATTAACAATGTGCTGGCTAGGTGTAAATAAAATAGTCAAGACAGAATGATGGGGGATATCGTATATAATTTAAAAATAGAGAGATCCTCAGGAAATGCATTCTTCCCAGTCAGCCTTAAGCAAAAGTTATTCCATATCGTGATCCATGTGCTTTCTATCCCAAAACCAAGTTGGACTTGGGACTAGATTTAAGTAATTAGTTTCTTCTAAGATTATGTGCTTGAAGTCAAGTGAGCAATGCTAATCTACAAACAAGGGTGATAATAGACCATATCCTAAAAACAAACTGGCAGAAATTACCTATAGGCTGGGCAAAGGTAATGATGGCCATTTGGAAGCGTGGATCATAAGATATATTCTGAATTCCACCCAGTTTAGCTTTGCAAAAAAGCAGCTCCAATTTGTCTCTCATCCATTCCATGTGGATATTTACATTTGGGATGTTAGAAACATAAATCTTCGTTTGAGAGATCTTAACATGGAGCTGGAAAAACAATACAAGCCAGTCCCAAAATTATACATATCAAAGAAAATCCATGGATGCAACTATTCAAAACATGCCATGACCATAGCACAATTTCTGATGGGGAAGCAAGTTTTCTCATTAACTATATTGGCCTTCTTTCTAGACCCTCCTAGAATTCTTCTTGGCCATATTGGCTGGAAATTTGGGAGTTATGGACACAACATAGCAAGAGAACACCATGCTAGGGAAGGCCGAACTATACAAAGGATATACTGTAGCTATTATTCATTAAAAACTTTATTGTAATGGTCAAGAGTTAAATCATTTCTCAGATTTTAAGGAAAGAATGTAACAGCTGGAGATAGTGTGATGATTTGTACAACATACTAAGCTAAAATTGTGGTTTACTCAGCAAAGCATAATGGAACTATAGCTCAATGTGGTGGGTATGCCCGGTCAATAGCTAGGGAAATTAGTATAGATTTTCCTTCCTCCAGGCTCTATAATGGATTAGCATTAAATATGAGCTATCAACTACAATGGTTTATTCAACAAACCATCATTGAAAACAAACCATGCATTAGGGTAATGTAGGAATTCAGTTACTTTCCAACTATAGTATGTGTTACAACCAAAGTTTGCCACAACAAGTGGCTGCACACACTTGACATCGGGAAGTCAAAAAAACATTCTGAAAGAAGTCAATGGCAACCTATTTCCATATTGTTGCCAAGAAGATAAATCCATGGTAGGCCAATGAAGCTGTCTTAGCCAATAAGCATGCAGAGTTCATCTTTAACAGAGAATGTTCATGAAATGGTCTTTAAATTAGACCTACAGACAATCCTTGTCAATAAGGTTTTAATCCAATATTTGGCTTGGATTAAAACATAGTGTCATAACAAGACCAATTCAGGAAAAAGGATACAGTATGTCTGTATATATATATTTTGTTGAATCAGATGTAAACATCTAGAAAGGTACATAACTGGAAAAAAATAAAAAATTCAAAGAAAAAGCTTGCCTTCTTTCTATGGCACTAGGAAAAATGATAGAAGGGGAAAACACTTCACTCCAAATTCACCAAATCCCAACCATGAGAGTCTTTATATCCATATAGGTCTAAGCAAAGCCAGTTAAACTTATTAGGCTGCCTATACATGGAGGTCTAGTTACCAATACAGAATATATAGAGTTCACGTTATTTTGATATATGTTTAAATCTTTCATGATGATGCCATTACCTCAAATGTTGTTCCCCTCTTCAAAGCAACAGGACGGGCTTCCAAAACAACCTTCTTATTTTCCAGGTTGATGATATGGCTATGTTTTGTAATCAGCTGCTGAGCAACTGAAGGACAACATGTTAACAGGTTTCCATGCTGAACATTGTCTAAATAGTTCAACTTCACATGAGACATGTAATCAACAACTTTGAGGAAAGTCAAGGTTTCAACAGTAAATTTTGTTGACATAGGAAACTAAGATTTGGGCTTCTTTGTTCTCAGTGTTACTGCTAGTTTTGCATGGTTTCCCAACTCAAACATAACACTATCCATACAATTAGGTCACTCTAATGGTCAAAGTTTCTTGCCAAGGATAACAGGATAATAGATCCCTGAAGGAAGTATTCTCGAAAAGGCTGCATTTTTCCATTCTTGCGGTCAGTATTGATAGATCCAGTAACAACTAGAATATTCATAATTCAGCAATCGGGGCAATGTTACTTTCCTTGGTACTGACATACTTTCACCACAACACTGGCTAGGTTCACACATCATGCTATGTAATAATGGGATCTAATTTGGTTTAGCATATGAACCCAACCTATAGGTCATAGTAAGGTGGGAAACAGCCAGCCTTAAGTTCCCTTTTCATTGGCCCTCTAACTGGATCACCTGATTTTGGCAGTACAACTTTCAAAAGGCAGGAAAGACAAAAATGGCAAGCCTTAACTAGATTTAACATAATTTAAAAATAAAATTTTAAAACATATTTAAAAAAAAAACTAGAAAAAAAATTAAGATCTTGCCACATAAGTATATCTTTTGCCATTTCCCCCAAAATATGAAAGGGCAGTTTCTTGCCAGGAAAAAAAAAAGCCTTCCTCTTGTTCAAAGCTTAGCATGATGTGTGAACCCAGTCACTCATAGATAATTCATTATTAGGCAAGCCCTAGCTTATTTGATGTGTGAACCCAATCACTCAATATCACAGCTGCCCCATCTACAGGAAGACTGACAGAGTTTGGGACCTTTAAAGAGTATCAAATTATAAATTACTTTATTGTTTTTACAGTGGGGATGATGAGGTTAGAATTTCTGCTTCAAGCATCAAAATATATTGGTTAAGATAAATCCACAAGTGGCAGGTAACATTTGAATTGATCCTAAACCTTTGTTGTCAGAAAAATGAAGAGTTTGCTTAACACAGCTTCCCTTATTTAAAAATGAGGAAATACATCATTTGAATATGCACTCCATACCTGATTCTTCTTCAAACTGGATGAGAGCTTCTCCCTGGTTCACCATGATTGGGATTTCTGTAGCTACATGAAAATCGCAGCACATGTTCATATACTCATCTTCATCCTCGACATCCTTCAGGTGCACAAACTTCATTTTTTTTTCAGGTAGGCATTTCTTAAGCTGAAATTTTAGTAACAATATTAAATGGAGATGACAATTTTTAAGGCAAAAGAATGTAATTAAATGTATTATTTACCTACTAGATGGTTTCAGTGACACATAAGACCATAAAGAAAGCTTTTGTCATATCAGTGAAATGCTGCTTTTCCCACCCTCTCCCATTTGTCAGGAACTAAGTATTTAGGTTCACTACTCAAGCACTGGAAGCAGGAATAACAATGTAAATAGGATAAAGAAACTTCAAATAAGCTCCAGCAAACTATCAAGAAATTCAGTCCTATTACTTGGGTTTTACACAAGAGATTTTCAATGTTCTCCTCAAATCAAGTGTATGCATGCCTCCCAGTTTAGGATAACATCAGGCATTTAGTCCCTTTATAATGTTTTCACTTGTCTTATACTGAAATGTGGAACTTATGGTTAAAAATAGTCCTCAAATGATAAGCATGGAAGAATCCACTGCTATCATTGTAGTTCCCCTAATTTATTTGGCTTGTTATAATAAACCTCATATAACTCAGTTTGTTCACATGTGATTGTATTTTCCATAATCACTACATAAAACATATATTGACTACAGGTAGTCCTCATTTAATAACCACTCATTCAGCAACTGTTCTAAGTTATGATGGTGCGGAATGAGGAGACTTACGACCAGTCCTCACAGTTGTGGCCATCGCAGCATCCCTGCAGTCACATGATCACGATTCAGGTGCTTGGCAACCAGCTCGCAATTACAATGATCACAGATTCTCACAATCATGACTGCCATTTGTGACCTTCACAGCCAGCTTACAACAAGCAAAGTCAATGGGAAAGCCAGCAGGAAGTCACAAATGGCGATCACATGACATTGCACCTAACAACCACACAGGATTTAATTAAGAGCAATTGGAACTGCCGCAACTGCCATCATAAGTCGGTGCATTCATGTGACGTCGCGCTTTACGTCGGCATTGTTTAGCAATGGAATTGTCAGTCCCAATTACTGCCATTAAGTGAGGACTACTTGTAATGACTCTTTTCAAATGTTCTTGAATTACAATACTCAAAATCTGACCTCAGGCCATGTTTGCTGGGGTTGATGGACATTATAGTCCAACATCATTTGGTGATCCATGGATTGCTCATCTTGATGTTAACTATAGAACAATAAATTCCTATGCAACCATGGCTTTATTACTTTTTCTTTTCAAAAAAGCATTACAGAGCATTCTGCTTTTCCTGAAAACAGCTTAGAGTAGATAGTTGTATAAATAACTTTCTCCAGGCTACCTGGATTTCCAACGGGATAGGCTGCCAATTAATATTTATTAATGCAAAAACTGTTTTTATTAAATATATCATTAGCAATCAACAACAACAAAAAATAAATAACCAGGGTCTTCAAAATTAGATTAAAAAAGAACATATCCTAATACAGAATGGATTAGCACCACCTTTAAATCTAATATTTTTTGTTATAACTGTAAAACAAAGGCACACAAAATGTTAATACTGAGGGGGCAAAAGAACAAAACAGTGACATTATGACATCAGTAGAAGGTATAAGGGACAGAATTTTCATTGTTGTCCACTGTTTGAGGGATTTGGGAAAGCTTAACGCAATTTCTGTCTTTTTCCTACCAAAAATCAGCAGGAAATCACATAGTTACTTGCCAATTTGCTGAATAATTTCAGCAAAATTTGGGGATTCGAAAGAGATTCAAGTCAGATGCTTGACTAATCCTTCATTTTGAACCCAGTAGATTCATTTGAGGCTGAATAGCTGCACTAGTACAATATATTAGTAAGACAGTGAGAGCAATTACTATAACAATGCAGGAAATCTACATCTATTTACTTGGGAGTATTCAGTGAGATTTCTATAGTTTATTAGACCATGGATTTATGCCACAAAAAATGGTCTAATGAGATAAAATTGGTAGATTCTAATTTTTTGTAAACCACAAATTCCCAGGAAGGAGGGTAAAGTCATTGTTTCTTAAATACAGGATGAAGAATCTTATCCGTCCATTTATGAAATATTTTAAAACATGAAGCAACCCAGCTGCATCCCCCCAAGCACACCAGCTCATTATCGCAGGAGTTTACCGAAAAGCTCTGGGTAAGGTCTCCACATTTCATCTTCTTTGTTTCCAGATTCAACTTAAGGATCTGGGTTTCCATTTTCAGCTTTTTATTTTGCTCATATATTAAGGAGAGTTGCTTCTGTGGAATATGAAAAAAGACTTAAATAGCTAAGAATTAGTTTATGGATGTTTTTTAAAAAATGTTTTTGCAATTTTTTATTTTTTTTTTGCTGGAGAGCACAAAACACCCTTGCTGAAGTTTTAATACGTAAATTTGTAACCACCTCCAGCATTTTACTGAATCTGAATGATCAATAAAATCCCATATAATTAAGCCACAGCTCTATTCCAAATGAAGAGAAGTGTTTAAGCAGTCCAGTTATCTTGCTATGTTTGTTTCAGATAAATCAAGCAAAGAAGACTAAGAACTCTTAGTAGTCCCCAGTATGGACAGAGGTAACACCTATCAGGCTCAGGAGAGCAAGATGCTAAACCCAGAGCCATTCATCCAACATTAACGGGATTAGTTTGGAAATGAATAGGAGGGCTTTGATCTAGTGGAAGCAGGACACAGGAAATGTCTGCCAATTCTCTCTCTGTGCCCAAAAAATGCTTCGTGACCTACTGCACAATAGTCCAGGTTTCCTCCATGCCCTGGAGGAGCCTTTCACAACCTCCAGAAATGTGGGACTTCCAGAACTCTCAGCAACAACCATTCCAAGGACGTCTGCTCTGGAGTATATTTTCAAGGACCATGGGGAAAAGGATGATTTAAAACTACTCTCCTTAGTCCTTTCAAAAGGCACTTAGGTGATCTTAGGCTTAAATTCAGTGTTTTTAAAGTCAAACGCAAAGGCTTTTACAGTTTAGTCCTAGTAGGAAACTAAAGGCCTTTCAGTAGCTCCATATGTTGTTGTCATCAAGAATATGCACGTTTCCAGAGAGTTTCCCACCTTATGGCTGTACAGTGAAGAGCACCACCCAATGAACACCTTCTCATATGGATGTGCCTATGCTGATCTTACTGTTTTTTGCCCAGTGAACATATTGTCAGCTAATAGAGGTTGTATACTGCATTCTTAGCATAATTCTTAATATCCACATATTAGGCTGACAAACTGAAGGTTTGAACACTAGCATTTTTATTTTGCTTATGAAACCCAAGTTTCTCACTTAAATGGAAAGTTTTGTGTACTTTTAAACCAACTATCTATTTCTGAATTTGGAGATTCCAAACTGTGGTGTCAATTACAATCCAAACTTGCCGTTTTGGTCTTAACGTTTAAGAAAATAAACATGCAAAATATGACCATGGTGTTAATACTTGAGTTGATGGCTTCTACTTTGTTATCAACTGCAGGACATAAATTCTCTACAAGGACTAAAAATGTTAGTTTCCTCAGTGAAACAAAATCTGATCAGACACAATTACCAGGCATCAGAAACAAGGCTTGCAGGACGTTTATTTATTTATTTATTAAATGCATACACCACCCAATTCCCAGACTCTGGGCAGTTCATAAAATAAAAACACAGAAAAAACAACAATATAACAAGAAAGACAGAGGAGGAAAAAGATGGCAATAACAAAAACATACACACACTACCCAGAAGAGGCCTCACCCATTCCAGCCAAAAGCTTGGCAGGTTTGACTCAATATCCTGCAAATTTCCACATTTCCCTGCATCAATGTTTAATTCTATTCTTAAAATGCTGGAACATGGATAAATTCTTTCTTTACCTTTTGGTTCTCCTGTATTCTCATTCTTTCGTTTGCTCGCCTATTACTCTCATCCATTAGGTCTGTCAAATCCTTTTGCCTCATTCTTTTTTTCTCATCAACAGCACGTGTTAAAACAAGGATTTCAGACTTTAGCTTTTCAGTTTTTTCAACTTTTTCCTGGGCAAATTAAGAATCTATTAATGCAGTTTCAGTGATTCCAATCAAACAGGGCAGGGTTTTGGGAAAAAAAAACAACCAGCCACATCTAGTCTATATATGCAGCTCAACTGTCACTGGTAAACCTCAGAAGAGTTTATAAAATTTACCTTCCATTTTTCTAGTTCTTTCAGTAGTTCAGTCTCAGTAGTGGGTGTTTCGGAAATTTCACTTTCCTCCATACTCTACAAAACAAAAATGGAAAATGTTTCTTTCCATTTTGTACCAAAAGCTGTTTTTCACATTTCCAAGAGTTTCATTTTTTCTCAGATATGAAATCCATTTATTTACAAAAATAAAGTCCAACAAAAATCCTACCCAATCAGAGATACATACAAAGGCAACACATTTTTGTTTTTTGTTCTTTAAACAGAACCAAGTGACCAAACTTGACTTGGGTGTTTCCAATTCTATATAATTTTTCATCTCATTTACAAGTGCCTAGTTCATATTTTTCGTACACAATAAAAACAATTATAATAATTATATAACTAGCAGAAGCAAATTTTGTCTTGCTTTACTAAATTTATTTAACAAAGCTCTCTGTATATGCACCACAGTGAATGCCAAGATTAAATATATATTCACATTCACATCTAAACTAACAAACCCAGTCAATGTTTTGTGTATTGTCATGAATGTCCCTCTGGAATATCTCAATGAGATTTCTGATTAAAACTTAGCAATTTTTGGATGTTTGCAAAATATATCTGGGATTTTAGGTTTTATATGTTCCATATACACTGGTATCTACTAATTTTTAATCATTATAATACTAGATTAAGGTACAATTTCCAGCACAGTCAGGTTTTTTCTTCCTCCAAGATGCGCCAGACAATAATATCTAGTCCAAGTGCTACTGTTCTACCATGCAATTAATTTACTGATTAATTATAATTGGAATATTAAACCTTTTAAAACATTAATAGTAAATCACACTTTTGTTAAATTTTGATGTTTAGGATTTATAGTCAGTTTGGGAATCAGATTTTGTCCAATTCATCTCTAAGACTGAAATATGTCTATCCTGGAAGCAATATTTGCTTAGATTTACAAGTAAATAATATTACAAATAAATAATAACTTACAAAAATAAATCTAATCAAATACTGAAGCCACAGGAAAAAAAAACATACAAAACAGAAACACTGTATCCATTAGAAGTAAAACAAAGCTTAGATATACAAATATGCTGCAGGAAATAATATCCTTACAGTATTTTCATTCATAGGTTTTTGTTCAATATGAATCACTAAAACCAAGACAGGGGGAAACCGTGACATAATTTTGTCTGTTGCCTTGTAAATAACAAGGCAACAGATATGACCATTCAGAATAATTTCCAATTTTTTAGCCAGCCACTTTCAAAACAGTTTTATTAACCAAGATGTCACTACAACATTTCACCTAAGCAAACATGTATTTTAAAATAAATGTATAGCATATGAGAACAAGACCAGAACTAACACAGAACCGTTTCAGTAACAGGATGATAGCACTGTCTGTAGATTCCTAATACTCATCCTTTGATGAGCAAGACTACTTTATTAAATCCGCTGGAAGATGGCATTAAAAAAGGCAGCACAAAGGAACGTCTGCCACAAATATAATCTATTTGTAATACCTTTTCCTGTACCTAATTATTGAACTTATATTCCAGCTTCCTGAAGTAAATGTCCAAGAGAGATAATAACATATCCAAATACATTTTGAAAATTAAATGAAAGTAAACAAATTGAAAATTTGGACTAACAAATTGGCTGGTTAAAATCTCAGCCAGTGTTAGTCCAGCAGCAAACATGATAAATCTCTGCAATCTGAATATTCATATTGCACATCACACTGCATTCACTCAACAAACAGAATCATAAAACACACAAATGTAAAGTTCAGTTCTTTAAGACCATTTTACTCACACACACTCATATCTGAAGCAAACTATTAGTTTAGGAAAGTCATTAACTGGGTAGTTCACATATCTTAAAACTCAAATGTGGTTTATTCAATGTGTTGACTTTTCTGAGTGAATTTAGCCACTGGGGTTAATAATCTACAACTTAACACATTGTGTGAACTCAGTTGATTGTGGACTGTTAAACACATCATGAGAATCCACCTGTTTAAATGCTTTGCTCTCTCCCTCTGTGCTGTACTATATATATTATTTATCAAATTTATATAGCTGCCCATGACTCTGGGTGGCATACAACAAAATAGTTAAAACAAGTATCAACAACTATTAAAAACAATTAAAAATAAATAGAACTAAGAGTGCAGAATGGACCAACATCCTAAACACAGTACAACCATCTCGCAGGCTCCCTGTTCCCATGGGATCCCCAAGGCTGCTGGAAAAACATATTAAGGGCTTTCCAGAAGGCTAACACGGATGGGGCTAACCACACCTGAGGGGCATGATGTTCCAGAGGGTGGAAGCCATGGCAGAAAAGGTTTATCTCCTGGGTCCTGTCAGATGGAACTCTTTAGCAATAGATATACTTTCATTCTTCCTCACATCAGTTATTATAAGTAAAACAAGAAAAAGGCAGAGCCCCATTACACAAAGCTTGTTTTGTTTATGATTTGTTGAATATGCCACCATTGGCTAGGTTCACACAGCATGCTAAGTTCATAAACCACTAATGCTCATCTCCAGGCCAACTCTCCCTAACATGGTGGATCATTAGATGTGTGGGGACTACAATTACCAGAATTTCTAGCCAGCATGAAAGCAGGAAGTTGTCATCCCATCCCATCTGGAAATCACTAAGTTGGAACATGCTGGCTAGTAAGCAGCATCATTGACCCAATCCTCCTTTCTGAGTATTTATTTTTAAAATTTATGTGCTGCCCCTAAAATCCAGTAGAGTGAGTGTGGACCTTTCCTCCCTTGTACCTAGCCATGGCACAAATATGCCCTGGCAACCTTTTTTCTACTCTGTCCTCATGGTATTTTTTTCATCTCATTTCCAGTCTTAAGTCTTCCTTAGTTTTACGTGTAAAGGTAATATTTTCCCCTTGATGCCAACGGTGGGTGTATAACATCTGGTAGGATTGTGGCTGATTAGCTGGGAAGGAAGGCAGAGGGCTGGAGTAACTGGCAGGATAAGGATCAGCAATGAGGGAGGACGGCAAAATTTGTGCTGGTGAAGTTTCACGGATAGGTAGGCAGCGGGAAAGGCCACCGAGTTTAAGATCAACGGATGTCTTTGCTTGCAAACTTCACATCTCCAAGTAAAGGTTCCCTCGAATGGAACTTTTGACCCAATATGCAAATCTCTGCCAAATCCTTCTTCCAGGACTTTCTTCTTACTTCCAAGCTCCGCAAAAGATCAGACCTGTCACTTGAAGCCCTATCATAATACTAGCCCTATCATAATACTAACGAAGTCGCGCTAAGTGCTGGAGCAGTTCAAACACCGGGGGAAGTTAGCAGGGGGACGCTTGGTACAGTTACACTAGCACGGAGCGTGGATTTACTGGGACGCCAGTTAAGTAAATGCATGCCAACCGGACCGAAATAAAAGGTATTGTAGGCCTTAGATCGCAAATGTATAACTATGCTTTTGACAGGATCGTTTGTTTCTGTAATAAAAATCACCCACCGCCATCCGGCACGGGGAAACCTTAGTTTCGCTTTCACTCTGCGAGCGGATTGTTTGGAGGGGGGAACCGCGATGTACAGTATGTATAACACACCGTCGCCGGCCAGGCGCTTCCCCACTCCACTCTACCCACTTTCCAGATGGATGGACTTACAGAGGTCTTTCCGCCGGCGGGACAAGCGAGGTTTGCAAACATGCCCGAAGTAGCTCCCGCTAAAGGACCTCCGCTTGCAAGCAGCAAGAAGCGAAAGTCGGAGCCGCCTTTTCCTGCAGATCACGTGCAAGGAGGGCAGGTGGGAGGGGGCGGCTATCGCCTGCAATGGCCTGCCGCGAAGTACCTCCCTCGGAGCCAAAGAGGCCGGGCCACCCATCGCCCTCGGTCCATCTGTTTGTAGTATTTACGCGCGGCGGCGTCCGGCTTGGTCAGCGAGCCTGGTTCGCATTTCGCGCTACGCCAAGCTGAAATAGGATTAGTTAGCTCTGCGTATAGTCTATGGCCTAATGCGCTGTACGAACCCAATTCTGGTTTAGTTAGTAAACAATGATGAAGCAAGACGGTGGCGTAGTGAGATAGGCGAATCCAGTCAGTATTCTTTGCAACGCGCTGCCTTTATTTATTTAATCAATCAATCAATCAATTTATATAGCATGCAAATCGAGAAATGGCCACAGAGCTTTCTAATTCTAGCCCTTTTTCGGAGCAGCAGTGGCGCCATTACGCTCTGGGACTGAACAACCTTCCCAATCTGATGGCTGCTGAGCGGGATGGACTTCAGCTTCCAAAATTGCCAGCCAGATGAAGCCAAGCAAAGTCCAAGGGTGGCGCAGGTCAGGGAAAGCTGCCTCAGAAATAGATCTCCTGATTTGGACCCAGAGATCTCAAGTCTGGTTCCCCTCGTGTCTCCTCTTAAAAAGTATAAGATAGTACAGGTATGTAATGCCCTGGTTCTCAAACTTTGCAGTACCTCAGCCCTCTAAAATGATATATCAATTTTTGTCACACACACCCCCACACACACACAAACATAGAACAATTTCATTGGTGTTAGGGTTTGGCAAGAAACGAATAAGGCACTTTTAATAATTAAAATTTAATCTGTATGTCACACAGGATTTAAACTTTGCTCATCCTGGGGGAAAATAGCTACAGGAATACTGACTTGATGGCACACAAATTAAACTGCAGTATAGCAACTTTGAGATTATGGAGGCAAAATAAAGAGCAGAAAGATTTGACTGCTCCTGCTTTGGCTGCACAAGCCTGATTTAAAAGAAAATAGTAGACCCACCCACCCAATTCAGTTGCATGTAAGTGTGAGAATCAGTGATCGAATGACAGGGCCTAAGCAAGCAATACTGAGCAATAGTGAGCAGACAATGCAGGACAGGTCTTGCTTGTACACTATACCAAGCTGGGGTTTGTTTAACTGGTTTATTAAATCATAGTTGGTGTTCTGAGAACATGCAAAGATATAAACTATTGTTTACAAACTACAGTGATTGAGTTCATATGATGTACTAAGCCAATCACAACCGGACACTCTTAAATTTAGTATGGGTGAACCCAACTACAGTATAAACTGTTGCGCTAAATGCCATGGGTTCACATGTTTGAGGGACTCACAGCTGCCTCCCATTGTGTAGATGAGATATATCCTAGACACTTTATATGACTATCCATGAATGCATTTCTTTTCCACCAAAAAAGAAGGGGCAAGAGACCATGTAAAATGAATCAGGCAGTCATCAGCGTGACACAGCTGCATCAAAGGTGATTTTATGTATGAAGTCGAGAAGTGGGGAAATGTTTGCTTCTCCATCCAGGTTGTCACAGCCAGTAGTGACAATGTGCTTGTGCTTTTATATTCATCTTGTTTCCCTTTGTTCTGTTTCTCAGCGGGTGTCTTTCAGCAGGAATGTCATTTTCATTACACCATAATAGTGCTTCATATGGTCAATATAGAAGTGATTGATCTTTAGTAATGAAGGATCACTTTAGGTGCTACAGGCAAAACATAGAAGTCACATGGCCTTCTAGATTACTGGTCCTCAGTGTAGACCATATGCCCCCCCAGGGGACCATGCCATATTTCTAGGGAGCCACAGTAAGTTTTTCATGGGGCCACACAACCTTAACTGCCGGCCATTATGAACAATTTGTTACACCCACACGTCTGCTAATTTCTTCTCTGCATAGAATTAATAATTTCTGTTAGCTACTACAAATACTTTGTCTTTATATGATATAGTGTACATTAAGAAACAGTGCAGATGGTAAGGTACCTTTTTTCCAGTTGACAGCAACTATGAGGGAGGTCACAGAGGCAATTGAGGCACAGAAGAGGGCCATGGGGCTGCCCTTGAAGACTACCTGGAAGCTTCAACTGGTCCAGAATGCAGCGGTGCGTACAGTGATAGGCATGCCTTGGTATCCCCATGCAACACCTTTGCTCTGCAAAATACACTGGTTGCCAGTTTGTATCCAGGTGCAATTCAAGGTGCTCGTCATTACCTATAAAGCTCTACATGGCATAGGGCTGGTTACTTGAGGGACCGCCTGTCTCCCATAGTATCTGCTCAGCTGATTCAATCTGGCAGGGTTGGCAAACTCTGGGTTTCCTTGATTAAACAATGTTATCCATTGGGACCCCAGAAGTGTGCATGCCTACATTCTGGAATTAGGTCTCCCCCCCCCCCCCCCCCCGTGATTCAAACAGCCCCCACCTTACTGGTATTTTGAAGAGCCCTGAAGACCTGGCTCTTCACCCAGGCCTTTGGCGAGGGTGACTGAAACCCCCTTTAGATTGTGAGGGTTGATTTTTCTTCCCATCCATTTTTACCATGTCTTAATCTTCATTTTTTGTTTTTTATTGTTTCCTTGTTTTTAATGTTTTAAACAATTTATAAATTGTCCAGAGTCACTTGAAATCAGGTTCATATAACTTTAATAAATTATTAATAATACCAAAAAAAGTTGACAACTCCTGTTCTAGATCACAGCAGAACAAGAAAAGGCTTCCTGTCTTCTAGTAGTTCATTATCTGAAGCACATTCATAAGTCACACTAAGTCATAACATGATTTATTGGGATTGTGTTTAGCATTTTGTGTGAATTGGGCCTTGTAAATTCTGTTTTATGGCTTAGTACAATGTGTGAGTCAAATTCTTTAGTTGCTGACTTTTCAGTATGCTGCTGTTTGTTTTGCAGTTATATATTAACAGTAATAAAACTAGTGATTAAAAATAGATACACTCCTTTGCATAATTTTGATTTGCTTTTCAATAGGATGAAGCTAGAATCCATGTTCCATAAAACATTTTCTACAGTAACATTAATAATGTTAATGTATGTTGTCCCTTAACTGCTCCAGTATGAACAGTTTAACCAAAATATTAAATACATTAGGCAGAAACATTGCCATTATTAAAATATTATGGAATTTAGGAACAAAGACATGATTTTTCTGTCAAGAATCTATGAATGGATAGTTATGGGAGGAACCCAAGCCAGAGGATTATGACACAGGATAAAATAAATGTGGATGAAATAGTGCTGTTATATTTCTATGCACATACAGACTGAAAAAAAAAACCCTAACTGAAAAATAATTACTCACTACAGACTGAGCTAAGATAACTTATAATATGAGATGTGACAGAAAAGGTTACCTTTGGATTTTATTAAATTTTTATTTTTGCAAAAAAAATCCCAACATAAAATTAAAAAAAATACAGAGTCATAAGAAAACAAACCAATAATGAAACCGGCCAAAAAAAAAAAATTACACTTGGGGTACGTATGTATGTTTTGGATAAAAAAAAAAAATCTTAGGATCATGCTGGAGATATATGGAGCACCTCCCTGCAACTCTTTAAACCAAATGAGTCTTTTTCTAAGACTGTACTACATCTGTCAAGGACAGCCATGCAATTCCAGGAAAATATGTTCCTATTTTGTTGAAGACAGATGCTGTGTCAAAAACACATTTTTGCCTTCTGTTCCAAAGCATCACACAATTTGTGGGTGTGGGTGGGTGTGATCTTAAAGAGAAATACATTCATATTCAAATATTTCGTTTAAACACCCATATTCAGTAGTTCTCTTCAGAATGACATTTGTACAGATGTAATATATTAGGAACACATTTTATAGTTATTATTGGACTTCTGAAAGCATTTTGTTGATCTGTTAGTTTTACAGCCAAAGTAAGTTCTTTGAATTTTAAATACCACTGTTTCAACATAAAACATATTGGATGTACTTTTCCATTATTTTGCAATAAACACTTATTATTTACAATATTTTGCAGTTAACAGAAGAGCTGAATCAATTTCTTATATTGTACCCATCTATATGCATTAGGAAATATGCATTAATTCTGAAGGATTGTTTGGTGACTTTCCCAAATCCTTTAGAAACTTTCAACCAAAGGTTCTATTTGGATACTGCCACCAAAGGTGGTATATGCCAACTGGTACATACCCAACACCACATTCTAGAAAATGCAAATATGGTAGAAGGTAGTGCCACCTGTGGATTACTTTCATGGTCAATTCCTGATAGTCTGTTGAAAATGATTTGAAAGAAATTTTATGCCTCAAAGAGTTTCAGTGAGAGTTGTGAAGTTCAGATTCCAATCATCCTCCCAAATATTTTAAAAGGTCTTCAAGAGAACCTGTAATGCATAGTCTAAGAATATTATGTAATAGGGATATACAGCATTCACCAGTTGGAACATTTTGGGTGCTCTGAAATAATCTGTGGCCAAATCTGAGTTTTGGACATTCCTATTATAGAATATGGATAATATTTCTTGGTTGTTAAATGATATCTATATACACTATTCTCTACTATGCATTATGTCCCTGGACATTTGAGGACATAGATATTTCTATTAATGTGGCCTAAAATTGTCTTTGCTTTTTTCAGCCACTGCTTATCTAGGCAAAAGTTTCCATTGTCAAACTGCTGTTTCAGTAAGCTTTTCCTAACACTCAGCCAGAATCTGTTTTCTTGTAATTTATGGCCATTATTTCGAACAGAGCTAGTCTTGGCCTTCTGTGTGATACCACTTCAGGCATTTGAAAAACAGTATCAGCCTTCTTCAGTCTTTTATCCTCAAGGCAAAACATAATGAGGTCCTGTTTTGCTCTCTCCTCAGACCAGTAGGGCTGGGTCACAGGTTCTTTTGGATTCAGAGGCAATGACCACCCCAATATGAGAACTAAAGGCTTTATTCTAAGGTAGTATATGTTAGGCCCAGTCCAAGAACAACAATGAAACGGT